TTTCTTCCTATTCCTTTTCTTTTCTCCCAATATCAACTTTGTTAAAATTCTTATCCTCCAAATCACAATAATCCTCCTCCTCCTCCACCACCACTAGACCCGCTCCATGCACTGGCCGCACTTCTTCGACGAGTTGATACACCACCATTGGTTGCCACATTGTATGCAAAATGTGATCCAGGTGAGTTTTCATTTAGAAATCGGCCACGCGACTTTTTCCTTTCTTTGGACAAATCTGCTTCTTCATCATTGTCTTTATGTTTGAGCTTGCTGAAAAAATTTAAAAATCCCATGGTTATATTTTATTTGTTATATTTGAATGTTTTTCTTTAAATTATTGTTTTCTTGGCTGTTTGTTTGTTTTTTGATTAATTGATTGATGAGATGAAATGAGATGAAATGAGATGAAATGAGATGAAATGAAATGAAATGAAATGAAATAGGACTTTTTCAACCATTTATATACTCTTCTTTTTTTTTTATTTCAATTTATTTTTATTTTTATTCTTAAATACCCTCCCCCAAAACTTAACCATATGACCACCTTCTTTTATTTTTAACATTTTCATTTTAATGAAAAATATCAAATTCATATCATGATTTCTTGGTATTTTCAAAATCACCTGGTTAAACCAAAAAAAAAAAAAGAGCAAAAGAAAACAAAAAATTACCCCAGGTTTTTAGCCCTCTTAATTGTGTTATGTATATATATATATATATATATCAAAACAACTTTTATTGACTATAAATAACAACTTTAAACGTTAACTACCACCCAATTTTGATTCTTCCATAAATAAACAATAGATTAAAATTTAAATTTAAATTTATTAAAAAAAAAACTGAATAATGAAATAATGAAATATAAAATGATATTAAATGTATATAATTGATGAAAAAAAAAAAAATACCAAGTGACCCTTTGTTAACGTGGCTTAATCACATAGTCATCACCTGTATTCCTGATTCAAATTAAAAAAAAACCTGCCTTCTCAATCACCACCACCACCACCACACCCTCCTCCTCCTCCTCCTCCATCACCACCACCACACCCTCCACCACTATCACCACCACCTCCTCCTCCTCCTCCTCCTCCTCCTCCACTATCAGATCCTCCGAAAATTGCCCAGCCACAGTCACCAGTGCTTGAAACACCTCTTCCGTGGCCACCCCCACTTGAATGATGGCGATGTTTCTTCTTTTCCTTTGTCTGAGTGGCGTCATCGCCTTCAGTGGTTTTGTGTTTGAATTTGTGGAAAAAACTTGATAATCCCATTGCTTTGTAAAGTGTTGTTGTTGTTGTTGTTGTTGTTGGGTTTTATTTTTTTTTTTTGTTTTTGGTAATTAGAAAATTTAGTTTGATTATGAAGATTTAAAAAAAAAAAAAAAAAAAAAAGGATTTCATTGACTTTTTCTTGAATATATATATATATATAGTTTTTGTTCGATGATTTATTATCTTTTTTTTTTCTTACTACAACAAACGTCAATATGACTTATAGTACTAATGATTGTATCTTTTTATTTTTCTTTCGTCATAGGATGTCATCGATATTATCTGTTTTTTTTTTTTTTCTTCCATTTCATTGAAATGATAAGTAGATATTTCCATCTTTCGATATTAATTTTTTTTAAGGATAATTATGATTATACTTATGAAAAAATAAAATAAAATATATCTCGTATGGTTTTTTTTTATTCGATATTTTGAAAACAATTTTATTTCCATGTTGATTTTAAAAAAAAAAAAAAAAAAAAAAGCCAAGATACATCTTTAAAAAGAAGCTTTTTTTTTTTTTTTTTTTTTTTTTTTTTGAGAGAGAAAGAGTGATTTAATATATCCTCGGAATTATTATAATCACATGATTTGTATTCTTTGAGTTTAATTAAGCACTGCAAGTGTTGGCAATTGGTAATGTGATTATCATCATCATCATCATCATCAACAACTTTTTTTTTCTTCTTTTTCTTCTTCTTCTTCTTCTTCTTCTTCTTCTTCTTCTTCTTACTTCCTTTATTTATTTATTTTTTTTTTTTACAATAATACAACAACCTCAATTTAATCAAATGTTCCAATTCTTATTACTCCAAAACTTTTTCATTATCCAAAAATACTCTCGACCTTCTAATATTGAAATCCATGTGGAATACAATGTTTTTTCTTTCAAAGATAATAATAACATGGAATCACAAAACAGTATTATCGTGATCTAAAACTAAAAAAAAAAAAAAAATATTAGAATAAAAATTAGGTTATCGATAAAAAATAATATAAAATAAGGAGAAGGGAGGATGAAGCATTTGAATTGGTAAAATTTGTGATCAAAAAAAAAAAAAAAACTCCTGAAAAAGATTATTTTTTTTTTTATTCTTTTTCAATAGATAATAGATGATAGAAAGTAAAATAACTTTCTTTCAATGATTTTAACTGGTCAAATTCCTGATATAAATGACTTTGGTATTATTTTATTTTATAAAAAATGATTCAGTTAATATATATTTTGTTCTTTAAAAAAAAAAAATAAAAAAATAAAAAAACCTTTAGCATATTTTATTTAAATAAACATGTAAAAATAATATGATAAGCATTAACCTTGCCAATTGTGCCCTAACAAAATGTAATCCCTATTAAGCATTTCACAAACTCT